CGCGGGGCGGCTGCGTCCTGCGCTCGCTGGCGGCCGGCGCTGTGCTGTGAGCGCCGAGCCGGCCCGTGTCCCAGCTCTCAGGCCGGCCCCGCGGGAAGGGGCTCGGAGGGGTCCCTCCCGGCCTCCAGCTCCTGAAGCGGGCGTGGGGCTGGGGAGCCGAAGCCCCCGCCCATGGGAGCGGAGGGCGGCGGGCGGGCCCTGTGGACACGTGCCGGGTGACCCCGGGGACAGAGGCTCTGGAGCCGGCTGGTGCAGCTGGGGGAGGCGGGAAAGGGCGGCGGTGAGAGGGTCGCCGCCCAGGGGCCCGTCCTGGGTGCCCGATGGCGGCATCTCCCGGGCGCCCTGCACATCCTGCCCCTCACTCGAGGCCCTTCGCTGCCTGGATGCTGGGCCGCCCGGCAGGCTAAGGAGCGGCCTTGGGATGAATCGGACCCGGGTGACACAGCCAGCGGCTGGGGGCGAGGCGAGTGCTTCGCAGCTCCCGAGGCCCAGAGGAGAGGTCTCCTCCCTGCAGCCCCCGCACCCTCACTCCTGCTGCTCCTATGGGGCGCTGGCGAACCAGGCGCAACCAACGCTGCTGCCTGCCGTGAAGCCGCGTGGGGAGCCCGACTGGGGCCGGTGGGCACAGGGCCTGGGGCGGACATTCGTAACTCTCCCGAGGGACAGATGCGTTGCCCTGAGGCATGTGGCTTGACACAACCATCAGCTTTCTCCGTGCTTCCTGGGTGTGTGTGGGGCAGGGCTGGTTGGGCCATGGGGTCACAGTCAGAGGTCACCTGCTGGCCGGACCCCACCTGGGGTGCACACAGTGTCCAGGGTCATGGGGGCAGGCTCCCCAGGTGTGTCCCTGAAGGCCCCCAGGGGACCTGTCCCAGACGCCAGGGGTGTAGTATAAAGTGTATACTTGCCTCCTCAACTCACACACATCTATGCGAAAGTTTAATTTATCAGTTAGGCCAGGGCTGGGTGTGGTAGTACACACCTGTAACTCCACCACTTGGGAGGCTGAGGCAGGAGGATCCCTACATTCAAGGCCAGCTTAGGCTATGTAGTCACTTCAGGGCCACCCTGAACTACATCTCGAGACCTGGTCTCAAAAAACAAACAAACACAAAATAAACACAGAGACGGACACCACTAACTGACAGAAGTCACAACCACATTCGGTCGCAGAAGTTACACAAATGTGGTCTGTGAAGACACGAACCCGGAAAGGTGCCAGGCTGTGGGGTGTGTTTCCTCCGCTGCCGTAAAAGTATCTGGAGGACGGCTGAGGTCAGCAGGGTGGGGCCTCCAGGGCCTCGGGCTGCCTGCCCTCTGTGCTCATGGGTTTCTGGAACCCAGTGTCCCCCAAGTAAGGCTGCAGTCACACTAGATTCGGGGTGTGGGGTCCCCAAGGTGCAGGAGGTGCAGCTGGGCCCCACGTTCCTCACGAGCCCTGAACCAGGCCTGAGCAGTTGGAGGGGCGGGGCGAGGGCGTGTGGGGTCACTGCCGGCTGTGTCAGGTCCGGGGAATGCTGAGCTGGGGCAGTCGGACCCCTCCCTCGCTCAGCTGTGCCCCAATCTGGGTTGCAGCGTTGGCCGAGCTAGCCAGACCCCACCAGCAGAGGTGACCTAGGGGTGGGCAGGCACAGCACGGGAGACCTGTGACCTCCAAGGGCCCAGCCTCCTCAGGGAGAGCTCCTGCCCCCCCAGGCCACAGGGGCCCCCCAGGAAGGATGCGGGGCGCAGTCCTGGGTGACATGGCAGCTGGCTCCCAGCGACCACAACCTCTCCTTCCCTCTCTGTCTTCTTTTTTTTTTTTTTTTTTTTTGAGACAGGGGCTCACTGTGTAGTCTCGGATGGCCTTGAACTCAGTCTGTAGCCCAGGCTGGCCTCGACCTCTTGGTGATCCTCCTGCCTCAGCCTCCCGAGAGCTGGGGTCACACAGTGCACCACTGCACCCCACTCCTTTCCCTTCTCAACCTCCCTGTGCCCATCTTTCAGCAGCTTCTGACCCCCTCCCTGGCCTTCACCACCTCACAGACCTGCACTCCCCTCTGCCGCTCCCTCGGCCCCAGGGACACTGCTTGTGGTGACGGTAACACCGCGGCGGGGTGATGGTGGCAGGGACCCTGGTCTCTCCCACGGGCCTGGCTTCTGGTCTCCCTGTGCCAGCCTGCTATCCCTGCCTGAGTGCGACTGCTGCCAGTGTGCCTGGTGCCAGGAGGGCCAGGGCTAAGGAAGCAGCGTCACAGCCCTGCTGTGAGTGGGCCGGGCAGTGCGGGTAGAGGAGGGAGAAGCCTACTGAGGGCCCTGAGGCCAGCACAGGAGGGCGCAGGGGGTGTGTGGCTCTGTGGGGCGTAGTCCACGGCATGTGCTAGACACAGAAGGGCTGTGATGCTTTGAGCTGAGCTTCTGAGCCGGCTCCCGGGACATCAGCGTCCATGGCTCCACACAGCCCCAAGATGCAGTGGCTACCCCCTGGTCACTTAGCACCTCGGGCGCCTGCCCTGAGGGGCTCCATACAGACCCTGGGGCACAGGATAGATGCTGTAGTGGTGTCTCTTGGAGGCTGAGGCAGGAGGGTCTCATGTCCAGGCTCAGCCAGGGCAACACAGCGACTGAGGGAGACCCTGTTTCAGAACAGGAACATGTACAAAGGCCGGGGCTGCGGCTGAGACCAATGCCCAGGGTGGGGAGGCGGAGGAGGACGCCCACAGCCTCAGCCTTCTCCTCCCCAGTCACGGAGACATCACCTGGAGGACGTGGACTCTGCTGGTTGTGGAGGTAGTGACCTGTGGGACAAGTGGCAGCACAAACGCCCTGACACCCGGCGCCCCCTGGTGGACTCTGCCTTGACTGGGGGAACCCACGGCCAGAGCCAGGATGTCCGCAGCCGCCTCAGTCTTGGCATGGAGGGGAGTTGAGCCCTCCCGCACCGGTGTTGGGGCGGACAGCAGGAAGGGGCTGGTGCACACCGTGCTTCTCCTCCTGGCCGGGGCGTGGCAGCGCAGAGGGTGACCAAGCTGAGGGACGCCAGCTCCCGTCCATTCCCACCGTGTGACCTTGGCCCCCATGGCAGGCAGTGGTGTCCCCTCTGGTCCCCCCATGCCTCTTGGTGCTCAGCTCCGGGATAGGAGGGAGCTCAGGGTCAGAGGTCCTCAGGTCCCGCAGCCACAGACTGAGCTGTGCATTCAGGGCTGGGCAAGGGATGCCTGTGGGGAAGAGGCGCAGAGAGGAAACGGAGGCTGCAGGGAGCCCTGGACCAGCGTGGGCCTGCTTCTCCTGTTCCACCCCCTGCAGTACTGCGGACGGGGCTTGGGGCCTGGCAGGAGCTAGGCTGATGCTCAGCACTGAGCTTCAGCCCGGCCCTTTTCACTTTTTAATTTTGAGAAAGGGTCTTCTCACCAAATCACTAAATTGCTAAGGCTGGGCTTGAACTTGCCATCCTCCCCCCTCAGCCTCCCAGTACTGGGATCATAGGTGTGTGCCACCATGCCCAGCCTGGCAGCCTCCTATCTCTAGGCCAAGAGACAGCTCAGGCCAGTGACACTTTGATGGCTGAATTTGCGAAAGAAGCGCCCGCTTTTAGAGTTGACTTTATTTCAAACCCGGGATCCCCAGGAGTGGCTGTGTGGTCTGGGGCCAATCAGAGCATTGATGACGAGGCTGCAGCTCCAGGCTGCTGCAGGGCATAGGGGGACTGGGCAGGGAGCGCTGCGGGACCCCAGACTCCACCAATGTGCTCGTTCCCTGCCCTGGCACGGGAGGGGAAGTGGGGACTGGATGCTGGCATTCCTTCACCGTGCCTGGGGCATCTGTGCTCACTGCCCACCCTGCACCCCACGCCTGGGCCCCCGACCCTCTCCACTGAGAACCAGGAGCTCCCCACCCTTCCAGCTCCGTTGCACCCCAGGCAGGAGGCGGGACCCCACCCTGCATCTGCTGAGTCCCGGCTGCAGCGCCCACCTCCTCCAGGATCTCGTCCGAGTGGCGTTGTCTCACCTGCCTCCCTGCCTGCCCCTGGTGGGGCTCCAGCTGCCCGGGGGGGGGGGCACGCACTGAGCGGCCGGCTCGGCCCCCAGGCCCTGCTCGGCCCCTCCCATCCCTGACCCTCTGAGGCTCCAGTGTTGCAGGTGCCAGGGAGACGGCGAGTGGGGAGGGCGCAAGCTGGGCAGCAAAAGGCCACGGGGCGGGGACTCGGGGGGCTGGGGATTATAAAGTGCAGCGGCTGAGCGGGGGGCCCGCCTGTGGTGAGGTGCCTCTCTGCCCACGGCTGCTCGCTCAGGACTCGGCGTGAGTAGGCTCAGCCTGCCCGGGGCTCTGGAGAACTCGGGTCCTTGCTGGGCTCTCTCCGCTGGCCACAGCTGCCGCCCCCTGCTCCCCACGTCCTTCTGTGCCGCCCTGCGGGTGTGCGGCACCCTGGCTGCTTCCCTGCCTGGCCCGGCTGCTCCTGGGGGGCTGGCGGGGTCTTGCCCTCTGGCAGCATGGGGGGGCCTGGCGTGGGGCCCCCTCTGCGCTGTGCCCTTCCCTATGGGGTGGCTTGGGCGATAGCCCTGCCCTGTTCCTTAGATGGCTGCTGCCCGCCGCTGTCTGTCGCTGCTTCTCCTGGGCACCTGCGTGGCTCTGCTGCTGCCGGGAGCCCGGGGAGCCCCGCTGGAGCCTGTGTACCCCGGGGACAACGCGACGCCCGAGCAGATGGCTCAGTACGCAGCGGAGATGCGCCGATACATCAACATGTTGACCCGGCCCAGGTGGGCACAGGGGCCCTGGCTCTCTGCGATTCTGCCGTTACCCAGCCCCGGCCCCCAAGGGTCACCCCGGGCAGCAGGGAGGATGGCGCCCACGTGCAAATGGGCACAGCACCCACCCGGCGCCTCCTCCCTCAGGTACGGGAAGAGCGCCGAGGAGGATGCGCTGGGCTCTGCGTCGACCCCAGGTGGGTTCCATCACCACCTGTCGGCTCGGCTCCTTGCAGCCAAGGCGCGGACAGGGCTGCCGGGCAGTCCCCCGAGGACACAGGGTGGTCCCCACCGCCAGGCCCACCCTCTCCCCGCAGGGAGCTGAGTCCGTGGATGAGCGGCGCCAGGCGCCGCCCCACCCCCACCCGTGCTCTGGACCATGTGTACCCCTCCCCCGCCCCCAATAAACAAACGGACCCGCAGCTGCCTGCGTCTGCATCTCTGCCCTTGGGAGAGGGGCTCCTCGTCGCTTCAGGGGGCCCCAGGGCAGCCAGCGAGGCAGCGAAGGGCCCAGTGTGCGCGCCCCCTTGGGCCAGGCAGCGGCCCAGGACCGGGAGGGCGGGGACCCGGCAGAGCGCCCCTGAGATGCAGCCCCTGCGAGCGCTCAGGCCAGGATCCACAGCCCAGGCCTGCGCGCCGAGGACCGTGGCGTCCACCAGACACCGTGCGCGCCGCGCCTGCGGCGGCAGCGGCTGGGGCTCCTGGGAACGGGACAGTCACGCAGGCGGGCAGCGCGATCCGGGCGCGTGCTGGCTGGGCTGTGAGCTGGCGGGTGGTGGGGCCCCCTTTTTGGGCTCAGCCCCCGTCACGGAGCCAGCGGGACCCCCGGATCTGGTGCGCCTCCAGGCTGCGGGGCCACCGCTGGGCTGGGGTCTCATCCCTGCGGAGGACGTGGGTCTGCGGGGCGGCCTGGTCCCTCTTGGGGAGAGGAACAGCCCCTCCCCGGGGAAAATCGGCCCACTGAGGCTCCCGGGGGCGCCGCGTCGCTGTGCACTCAGGGTCCCCTCCCTGCTGCCCACCAGCGGGCACAGCGCAAGCGGCCGCGCTGCAGCCGGTCCGGACGTCGCCGCGGCGCGGGGGCCAGGGAGACCCGCGTCCCCGCCCAGAAGCCCGGGCCACGCTCTCCCGCCTCTTTATTGCTCTCGCGGGGCGGGGCGGGGCGGGGCCTGGAGGTCCTGGGGCGG